CTATGCGGCTATAGTCAAACGATGAGAAGGAGCTCGACAGCAGGGGCAGCGCGGGTACGGCCGCTGGGTTATGCTCTTCACAGTGAAACGACGCATCGTCCCACACCCTTATGGGGTCCGACTGCCTTTCAACTTAGTATATTTCTCCTTCTTGGAACTCCGACCTCATTGTGCAACATTCCTTTAAAGACAGCGCCTTGGCAAAGATGGACACGTCATTGCTGGAAGAACGTCGTCGGCGGTCTGGAGGCCATCCTGCAGAGAAGAGCAAGCAGGCTCATACTTCTAGTGGTTTTGACTGCCATACCAATTTGTCCTGATCCTTGCCTTTGAATAGATGGTTTCGCTCTATTTCCCTCTCCAGTACTCTTCAGTGCCCTCCATCAGCCACTATAGCAGATGTGGAATGGAAAGGAATGTGCTCAGCAGTGCCTATGTAGAAGTTGGGATGCTATCACACTGTCACCCTAAAACATTGACCCCGCTCGACCTGCGACCTCCTCAATTTTGTCTGTGGTTGATTTATTCCTTTTTTATTAGCTTCATGGTCACCTACCATGCGTACGGATAAATATGTTGAACGGAGCGGACAGACGTACCATCAAACATCAAGAAAAAAAATGTCGTGATTTGTAAAAAGAGCGACTATTGAATCAGTTGGATATATGAACATTTTTAGAAAGTTTAGTAGTATTGTTTATGCGAAGCCATATCCAGAGATTTACAGAGTGAAAACATTGGAAGGAGAGAAACAGCTACCTCGGTCATGACTAGAACAAGCGCTCCGGACGGAGAACCAGAAGAAAACAATCTGAGAGGAAACGTCGCCCAGTCTCTGTGCAAAAATCGCATCCACCGTCCGAGATTCTTGGCATCACAACGGCATAGCCCGCCCACACGTGACTGCACGCTACTGTATACACTTACATTTTACCAGTATTGAAATGGTCGAGTGCTGAAGTTCCGACGAAAACCTGCTTGTTCTACGGCTGGGCTTCTTCTAATGTTCTGCGGATACGTGCCAGTATGCAGCGTGTGAACACCTTATAAAGTACTGGCAGAAGCGTGATAGGACGATAATTCGCTAGATCTTCTTTGTCGCCTTTCTTGAACAGCAGCACCGTCGAGGACTGCTTCCACGCCGTTGGAACCGCACATTCGGTCAGGTAGCGAGTGTACCTCCTTGCAAGTGCTCGATACAAAGGGGGCCCGCACGCCCGTAGGAGTTCTATAGTGATGCCGTCTTTTCCCGGCGCTTTGTCTCGAGGCATTGTTTCTATGGCATGGCGCACCTCCGATGTTAGAAAAGGCAGCACTTCCTTCAGAACTGGTCTTCTTTCCCTGACGACTGGAAGTTCCGATCTGAAGAGGGAAGAGTAGAACGCTGACACGATTCCCTCCATTTCAGGTATGGAGCAGCAACGAGTTCCATTTGCAGTTTTCAAGCATGAAATCTTGAGACGATGCTCGGCAATCTTTCCTTTTTGCCCTTTTCAAACTTCGCCTATTCTCTGCCTCAGCTAAAATTTCGAGCTTCTCAGGCATGCGACCTAATATTCAGTCCGGTTCCACTGAAAGCCCCCATGCGCGCGGTAGCGTGCAGAGCTAAACCGGCTCATCATCTAGACAATGTCAAGCAGTAACAAGGGAGGTCATTCAGGAAGAGGGGCACTTTTCAAAACAATTTCCCCAGCTAGGGGCACTCGCGTGGACCACAATAATGTGTTTCGTTTTCCTTGAGCGGCCCACTGAAGGACAAAAATGACCAAAAATGTCGGCTTAAAATGGGTGACTTTTACAGCCTTAGAATGATGTGTCAGACTTTTCTCTCAGAAAAGATACAGGTGAGGGTGATGTCAAACGTGATATTTGCTCACAAGAAGCTTGCCAATAGTACATGTTGGAGAAAGGGTAGAGTTTCATAAGCGTCGTCGGCATTATCGTACTAGCAGTGGGCTAGGGGTTAGGTGATTAGCGTGATAGGCTCCCAATTGCACGGAAGCTTACATTTTTCCTCCAGATCGTTATCATATGGCTTTAGCGCCCAAATTGATGCTATATTCACAATCAAGACTAGCCCCTGCACCTGTTTTCTATTCGAAGCTGGAGGAATAAATCTGCACGCCAAACTGACGCCAGGTGGCGCTGACGCTGAAACGAACGCTATATTCATGATCAGGATCCTGATTTGCCCTTTAGGCAAAAACTCGAGGAAAGTCGAGATACTGACCAACTTCAAAAAAGGGGGTTTGATCATGGCCTATTGTAGCTCGTCATGCGCGCCGGTGGGCGAATTGAAGACGAGCGCGGTGCGGAATGTCCTGGTGATTCACGGAAATCGAAGTTCGTTTTAATAGGGAGCGCCTCCTACCACAGGTTACGGTCGCTGAAATCGCTCCAGCTATGGAGATGAAGCGTCGCGAGTGGAAGAGGCGTGGACGCAACATCAGTCTCGATGGAAAGAAGAACCTATCGACTTCAACATTACGCGGATCCTAATGTACATCAATGGCTTGGGTG